ACCTCAGTGGCCTCCTCTGCTAAACCTAACTAAACAGTCTCTTGCTGCCCCAGCTTACACTGGCTCCCGCTGCTGCAGGAGCACATACAGGCGGCACGGATCCCACCCCCTTAGGTAAAGTCTCAAAAGGTCAGATGATAGAATTGGGACATAAGTGAACTGCTGCCTGGAAGCAGCCACCTCACATATACACCTCACATGCACACATGTACACTTCACATACACGCACAGCCCTCACTACCTCATCTCTCCCCAGTCTCCATAGACAGGTGACAAAAGCCAATTCTAGCATGTCATAATTGCAAGAGTTTCATCAAAAGGTTGATGGAACTTGGGGACTCAACAAGGGCTGAGTCATACATGTAGTCACCTGTTGGGAATGGCTGAGGGCATTTCCCCAAACCTGAATAGGATATATTAAATTGACTGTTTGCTGCCAGATCAGCTCAGGGCATCTTAATCTACATGTTATTGCCTCCTACTGGCCAAACACCTGAACAGCCGTAGGCTAATTCCCCCATTCTGACAATGTGTGTGTATACCCTTTGAAGTGTGTATCTCTGCCTCGCCTCAGGACAAATTGTGTTAATAAAAGGCATGGGGTCCTGCGATGAGAAAAACTTAGATCTTAGTTTCCTTTTAGCTAAGCTCCTCTGACCCCCAAATGCCTTTCCAAATTATCTTTCGCCTCTGGACTCCTATTCAATCTACGCACAGCCTTCTCCAGATTCCTGAGCCCTTCTAGATGCTGGAACAAGAACCCGGCAGAAGGTGCAGCGATAGACTCCCAGGAAGGACCTGCGGCCGAGAGCCATCCCCCGTGCTTCCGCTGTAGACTGTCCTAATGAACTCACACGGGTGGGCCCACAGACCCAGCTATCCCACCCTAGCAGCACTTCCCCTTCGTCTCGATAAGCACCTAATAAGCGCCTACTGCATGCTTGGCACTATGCTGGGTGACGAACACGTGGCCCCTGCCCTCATGCAACTCAGTCAAGTGAGGAAGGCAGAACACTAGCTGGGTAAGTGCAGCACAGCACGGGAAGAGCTGGTGGGGGGGCATGCTTAATGTCAGTGGGAGCCCAGTCTGCAGGGTCAAGAATGGTTTCCTGCCGAAACCAGTTTGGCTCAGTGGATAGAGCGTCGGCCTGCGGACTGAAAGGTCCCAGGTTCGATTCCGGTCAAGGGCATGTACCTTGGTTGCGGGCACATCCCCGGTGGGGAGTGTGCAGGAGGCAGCTGGTCGATGTTTCTCTCTCATCGATGTTTCTAACTCTCTATCTCTCTCCTTTCCTCTCTGTAAAAACTCAATAAAATATATATATATATAAAAAGAATGGTTTCCTGCAGGAGGAGATCGGGTAGCTGAGACTTGAAGGGTAAGCAGGAGTTAGTCAAGTGGGGGAGCATCACGGAAGAAGGAAGGAATGGCAATGCAGAGGGCCAGGGATGAAAATGGGTGTGGCACTATGCCTGTGGGCGATAAGTTAGACATAAGAGAAGAGAATAGGCTACAGAGGCACGTGTGCGTGTGGGGGGGAGTGGTGGAGGGGCTGAGTCTAGACGTGACCTTGTGGCAAATAAGAAACAGGGAAGGCTTTTATACAGGGTGGGACACTCATAGTCTGAATGTAAGAAGGATCCCTGTGGACACCTCAAGGAAAGTTGAGTAGGAGGGACACAGTGGGAACAAGGAGGCCAGTGGGGAAGTCAAGGCAGAAGTGAGGGCAGGAGATGATGGTAGTCTGGGCAGGGGTAGCAGAAGGGATGGAGAGGAGCAGATGGCCCAGAGGTGGTCAGGAGGTGCGATCAACCAACCTGGACACTCTGCTGCCCTAGCATGTTCTGGTAAGACGACCAGAGCACCCGGACGGAGGGCCGCCCTGAGCGCCTACCTACGGCTCCTCCCTGATGACAACTGTGGGGCAGCTAGACCCCATCCAAGCATCGGAGCCTCGCTGCTGGCCTGACACCCACAGAGACCTGGGCAGCTGTCCTCTGCTCCCGAGGACAGACAGGGCTATTTTGAAAACAGGCTGGGGACTCCCAGGCAGCTGCCAAGCATTCCCCCCCGGCCAAGTTAAGCTCGCCGGCCCCACTTCAAAGCCAGCACAGCATCTGTCCCCCACAGGCTCCGGAAAAGGAGGGGTCAGCGTGTTTGGCTCTTCACATGGCTTCTGTTCAAAGACAAGTTTTCTCAACATCCCCTCCACTGCCCCTGCCACACACATGCAGGCGTGCACCCCCTGTTGCACATACACACACACACACACACACACACACACACAAGTGTTTCACTGCCTGGGTCTAAGGAACATGTGAGGAATTTCTCATGAGATTCTGACACAGGAAAGTGTTTTACTTCCTTGGAGGGCTTTGGAGCTGATGGGGGGAGTGCAAAGTGGAGGGAGTAGGTCCCCATTCTCCACGCATACTGGCTAGACCAGGGGTCCTCAAACTACTGCCCCGCAGGCCACATGCAAATACAAATATTGTATTTGTTCCCGTTTTGTTTTCTTACTTCAAAATAAGATATGTGCAGTGTGCACAGGAATTTGTTCATAGGTTTTTTTTAAACTATAGTCCGGCCCTCCAACGGTCTGAGGGACAGTGAACTGGCCCCCTGTTTAAAAAGTTTGAGGACCCCTGGGCTAGACCCTCCCTTGGCCACATCTATTATACAACTGACGCTAGTACCCTAAAATCAAGGTCACCCAACATGAGGTCCAGGGCGCGGGACAGGAACCTAGGCTTCCTCTTGGCCACTACAATTCTACTAGGAGCAGAGCAGCAGTAGGTCCAGCTGAGTCCTCCCTCCTCTTGACCAGTGACAGGGGAGTGGTGGGGATATGGCAGCAAGCAGTTCTCTTTGAAAGATGTCAAATGGAAGCAAATCGCTTATGAACTAGAAATAGAAAAGTAACTTTATAATATGATGACATATATACAAAACTAACAGCCAACTGCATACTTAGTAGTGAAATACCAGAAGAATCTCCATAAGGATGCCTCTTATTTCAGTGCTCCACAAGTTCTGGGCAGCTCATGAAGGCATTGAAAACAAAAGAACTGTAAATATTAAGAAGACAACATTTTTCTAAGTTGCAGGTGATGCTACTATCTGAACAACCCAAGAGAATCAGCTGAAAACCAAAAGAGGAATAAGAAATAAGTTCAGTGACACGCTGTGACCTGCACAAGTCTCAGTTTCCACATGGGGAAGAGGAACATAAGGACACAGCCTGCTTAACAGACCTAAGCACTTAGGACAGGGCCTGCCACACTTAAGAACTCGGTCAATATTAGCTCTTACTATGAAATATGCAATCAACAGTTTAGCATGTAATCGCAAACTAATACAACAATGCAACCAGTAAAAATATAATAATGAAGAAACAAAATGAAGTGACAGTAGCAAGAAAACTACCGAGGAATAAACGTAAGAAGAAATATGCAGGGCTTTATGAAGACAATAGCAAGAGATATGAACCAATGAGGACACCCAGAAGGCTCTTGGATGAGAAGACTCGATATTGTAAAAAAAACCCACAAAAACCACTCTCCTCCTGTTCAGTCACGATCAGGAGCTCCGCAGGCCCCAGCCGGGCAGCACCTCCTAAAATCTCACCCACACACACCAGCTCCCAGCAGGTAAGCTGACGCTTCTCACGGTGCGCCTGCCCTGCCCCGTGTGCCCTTCTATCCTAGCAGCTGTGCTCTGCTCAGCTGACCTGGCTGTCCACATCGGCTCCTCAATATTCTTCCCCATTGGACCCAGAGACCCACAAGGTCACACCGTGTCCACAGCAGACTCATGCTGGACACTGGCCAAGACCAGCGGGCTAAGCGACAAACGGCCCCACGGTACCAGGACCCAAGAAGGACCTGCAGAGACACCTACTTTGGGTTTTGCGATCTCCTTGATCCTCTGGATTTCCTCGTCAGACATGACGTCGTAGTACCTGACGATGTGCGGGCTGTCCCACTCGTCCTCCTCTTTGAAGGGGGCGATGAGCAGCTGTGGCGTCCTGTTGCCATCGTGGTACCTGCAGAAAAGCCTCTTCTGCCTCTTGGGTGTCTGGGGAGCACAGAGCAACAGCCCCGAGCCGAGTGAGTCCTAAGCCCTGTCCCAGGCTGGCTGGCTGCAGACACTGGTCTCACACTGTGTCCAGCAGCGGCTCCCTCCCACCCCACCTCAGCTTGCTGGGCATAAAATGATGCCCCAAACATCAGGCAATGCTTCTTCTTTCCCAAGGTCTGTGGCAGAGGGTGACCCCTGACCTTTTTCACAGAGATGTGAGTAGGTTTAAAGAGGGAGCCTTTCCAGGAGGAAGGGCCGGGGGGAGCGAGGCAGTCAGGCCTGGAAAAGGCCAAGAGTGCCCACACCTGAGCCTCCCAGGGCTCTCAAGGCCAATGCTACCCGACACCAAATTCCAGCAACTGCTGAGTTCCAGCAACTGTCCTATCTCTACTACAGAGACCAGGACTTCCCTTGGGAACTGAGCAATGCCCACATGCAGGGTTTTTCCCAACAGAAACTGGGCAGGATGGGGTTGGGAGGGGAGCTCAGCAATAACTTAGAGGACTGAAAATCTACCTGAGATGTGAGGGGAGAAAGTCTCCTGTCCTGTATCTCAAAGAACGTCCACACGTCACCCTCAACAGATACTATAAAGAACTAGGGAAGATGCTGAGAAATAACCCACAGAGAAACGTCCTCCCCATATCTGCCCGTCCAGAGCCAAAGCCTGGTCCACGGCCTGGGCCGCTGGTCCACCCACGTGTCTCACCAGTTTGACGCCCTCCCCACGACAGAGGCTCTCGTAGACGTCCCTCTCGGGCAGGTAGTCCGCGGGCCTCTCGTAGATGCTGTCCTGGGGCGCTTGTCCAGCTTCTGTCTGATTTGATGCCATTTTTCCTCTTTCTTCCTCCAGCAACTGTTCAAAGTAACGCAGATTCCCTCCAGCTCGTTCATGGCTCGGGTCTAGAAAAGGCAAAGAACAAGAAGGAACAGGAAACCACAAACATCTGTTAGGTCATTTAGAGAAATTATTCTATAAGCAGTTTCTCTCCCAGCAGCTCACTCGCATGCAGCATCCTGCCTTCCACAGCACCTCATCAGGGTTCGCGAGTCAGAGCAGAAAATCCAGCAGATGTTCTCTCTGCTCTGGTCAGTGACGAAAAAGAAGCAACAAAGGGGGCACACTTGGCTGGCCACTGAGGGGGCTGTCTTCTCAGGCCTCCCAGGAGGTCCCAAGGACACAGGTCCAGAGTCCTGCCTCCTCTCCCGACCTGGCTGTGTGCCAGTGACATCTGTCCCCTAGAGCACACCCATCCCTGGTGACCACATCACGTGCTGGGCACAGCTAGAAGGCAGGCTGAAATACTGGCAAAGAGAGCAGCTACGTGACCCTGCCACAGCTTCAGCTTGTGGGCCTCACAGCACGAGGAGCACGCCTGGCAGGATTACTGTGCCCCTCCTCGGGCGAGGAAACTGAAGCCCAAAGGTCTCCTGACTCCCTGTCCAAGGCTCTTACTAACACGACAGAATCTACAAAGCTCTCTTCCCACATCAGTCTTGCTGGACACTCCTATGCTATGACATCAGACTCATGACAAGCATCAGCATAAGGAAGTCTTTGCTGGGCTGTGAAATTCCAGACTATGGTGTTCCCATATGTTACTAAAAGGATGCTTTCTTTAGTTAGTTAGTCCTCACCCCAGGATATGTTTTCCATTGATTTTTAGAGAGAGCAAAGGGAGAAAGGGAGCGGAAGAAGGGGGGAGGGGTGGCAGGGGGAGAAAGAGAAAAACTATGTGAGAGAGACACATTGATTGGTTGTCTCCTGCACATGCCCCAACTGGAGCCGGGGATCGAACCTGCAACCCAGGTACCAGGAATTGACCCTGTGACCCTTTGGTCTGTGGGCCAACCCTCTAACCACTAAGCCACATTGACCAGGGCAGTGCTTTTGATCTCCTTCAGTCCCATAGCACAAGACACATAAAACACTAATGCCATGGCAAGTCCACCAGTTAGACTCAGGGTCAGGTCATGGTCACTGCAGCAACCCTGGAGTATAGCTTACTCTCAAACTACAATGAAACCTCCATGATGCATAACAGCAGATGCACTGTGGGCCTCATAACACGAGGATTCCTAACATGCAGGAGGATTCCCCAAACAGAACTGAGTTGGTTAAGGAGCTAGCTGGTCGCTGGGCTGGGTCCAAAAACAGTAAGGAATTAGCCACTGCCAGTGGACAGGTCAGACTGGCTCAGTCCTAGGAGAATGGCCAGGTAGTGGCCAGCGGAGTAACCAGTCCTCCTGTCAGCTGCCCACCCGGACCTGACCTTCCCCTAACCTTCTCACCAAGGGAGAGCAGGCGGCGGGTGAGCTCCAGGGCGCGGCGCACGTCGCCCAACTGGAAGACAGCGTAGCTCAGGTAGTCCAGCACCTGGGCCTTGGTGGTGACGGCCTCCTCCCCAGCATCCAGCTGCTTCAGCACCTGCTCCATCCACAGCACCGTGTGGTAATAGTCCCCTTCATTGTAGGCTGAGCGGCCCATCCCAAAGCAGTCGTCTGCACTCATCACTGCCTCGTACTTGGTTCCTGCATCAGGACAGGCAAACAGTCAGGCACCAAAGAGCCTCTGTGTGAGGGAGAGAGATTGCTATGTCAGGGAAGCCTGGGCCGCTGGCCGGGGGCATCATCCCAGCAGAGCCTTACCAGGGCTTCAGACCACACACCTCAAAGGGCCATTGCTACAGTGAGCACAGCCAGGCTGGCTCTACCTTGGGTTGGGGTTCACAGCCAATCTCCTAGCCTCAGACTCCGCTTCTCCCCAGTGGGAAGGGGCCTTTGCTACAGCGGAGCCCAGGAAACCCACCAAGAAGTAGTTTTCAGGAGAGCATGAATGTCCTGTGAGCCACACACATGGTATCTGCTGGGCAGCTGGACGTGTGAGTTTGGAGAGTAAAATAAAATTAGTTGAATATAAAAAAACAGAACCTAGGTGGCATCTAAAGCCATGGATGAGGGTAACTGCTCCCAGGAAGAGTCTGAGGAAAGAGGAGAGAAGGTGGCTGAGACCAGAGCCCCAGGGAGCACCTATACACAAAGGACAGAGGAAGAATAACACTGGGAGGGACATAAGAGGTAAGAGCAAAAGAAGGAGCAGGAGCCATGAGAGACACCAACGGAGGCCAAGAGCCAAGGCTGCAGTGCCAGCTTTGGCCGTTAGGTGGCAGGGAACTTGCTGAGCATCATTTCAGCAGGTCCTGTGACCATAGGTCATCCACTGTGGGCTGAGCCCTGGAAAGTGACCATTAAAATAGTTTAAAATCAAGAAGATGTGGTGTGTTAGCCATGGGGAGATGCAGGCTTTAAGGTGGGGGCAAGGTGGGAGGGTCTGTGTGTTCAGAGAACAATGAAAGCAGGTCCTATGGAGAGCAAGAAGGAGCTGTGACCCACCCCACCCCCATCCCCCTGACCCCAGTCATGGAAAACAAGGAGCTTCCCTACAACCCAGTAAGTGGGACAGGGCTGACATGGAAGAGCTGCCTCTTAGTGGGCTCTTTCTGCCTGATGTCTCTGCACGGAATGAGGCCCCTGCTGCAACGGTTGGCTGCTTCAGAGACCAGAGCCTGCTCGCCCTGGTGGCTCAGGAACAACGTGGAATAGGAAGTTGGGGACAGTAAGTACAAGGTGGAGCTCGTAGGCAGGCCAGAGCCCCTGTGGTAGGGCAGGGGGCTCCTTGTGGCCCTGTCCACGCTCCACGGATCTCCACAGAGCTCCTCTGGCTCTGCAGGCCCAGGAACATGCATTGATGGAGGCTGTAACACAGCTGAGAGGGCTGGGGCTCTGGGTCAGGGACAGGGTGGGTTTCACTATGGCACCCACCTGCTGTGTGACTATGGACAAGTTACTTAGCCTCTGTGTCTTAGTCCTCTTATCTCGAAATAGAGATAATAGCATCAATTTTAGAGGATTTGTGCCAAGAATTCGGAGAAATTATGTATGAAGATATCTCCTATGATCCCTAGGATTATAATTATCTATAGCTTTTATCGACATGTCTCACAGATGCCAAGAATGGAATAAATGATTCACAGATACTCAGCATCTTCCCCAGAAGCCAACTCAAATATCTATTCCCTGCAAAGTGCTCCCTAGACAGTGCTCCCTGGAGTGCCAGCTGAGCTGACTGAGTGCTGAGGGCAATCAGACTTGGAGCCCTGCTGATGTGGGTAAAGGTGTTCCTTCAGAGGGCATGAGGTGAACAAAGGAGCTGAGTGGTGAGGAAACTTAGAACAGTCAAGGGCAAGGAGGCCAGAGAGATAAGGCCATGCAGGACCTCAAACACCACATGTAGGAGGAATTTAGGTTTAGCCCTGAATTGACCACGTGTAGGAGTGCGCTGGAGATACACAAGTCACAATGGTACTTCAACAATACAATTGAGAAAGAAGTGATCATGAGGCTGGAGTCAGGGCCTCCAAGTACAGAAGACATTAGGGAGGTGGAACCTACAGGCCTTAGGATTCTGGCTTTGGCAGCCAATGGATGGAGGTGCCTTTTTTTTTTTAATGGGAGAAAACTGGTTCTTTATTTATTTTTAATCTTTATTGTTGAAAGTATTACATATGTTCCCTTTTTTCCCCCATCAACCCTATCCAGCCCATCTCCACACACCACCCCAGGCCCTCACCACCCCACTGTCTGCATCTAAGGGTTATGCATATATGCATACAAGATCTTTGGTTGATTACCTCCCACCCACCTTCACTCTGAGATTCCACACTCTATTCCATGCTTCCATGTCTCTGGACCCACTCCACTCATCAGTTTATTTTGTTGATTAGATTCCACATATGAGTGAGATCATGTGATCCATGTCTTTCTCTGACTTATTTCACTTAGCATGATACTCTCTAGGTCTGGATGGAGGTGTTTTTGCTGAGATAAAGGGTGAGGGAGAGGGGTAGACAGCTGTAAGAAGGACAAGGATTTTAGTTTGGGACATGTGAATTTTGAGGAGCCCAGTGGGACATCCAAGTAGAGATGTCCCATAGGCATTTGTCTACACTGGCTGGAATCTCAGGAGACAAGCCTTGACAAGGAACACAGATCTGGATGTCATCCATGTACAGGTGATACTTCAACTGATGGAAACGGCTGGGCTCACTTGGGAAGGATGTAGGGAGGACACGAGGTAGGGCTGGAATTCTAGGGAATAACTCCCTCCACCTCTCACTCTAAGATGCAAATGGGTAGAAGGTAGAAGATCAATGCTTGGTGGCTCCCTCTTCTCATCAATCCTTCTCACAGGTGCCCTGAGCTGCCTTCTCCCTGGTCTCGTGGCCTGGGTGTCTAAGAAGAAGCCTATACCCCACCGTGCTGGTTCACAGACTTCTCAGTACTAGGGCTCTAGGCCTTGACCACGCAACAACAGAGAGCCTCTTTCTCCCACAAACCCTAATTCCTGTGCTCGTACCTCCTCCAGGGTCCCCCTGGGTGAGGTAGCATCCAAGGTTTAATGGAGTCTAACTGAATTCTGGGTTTATTGGCGTCTAACACCCCCAACCCCCTAGAAAAAGACCCAATATGTCTTCTTAAAAATATACTAGAGGCCCAGTGCACGAAATTTGTGCACAGATACAGTCCCTAGTGGCTGCCAGCTGCCGACTGGGGCCTCCCTTCCCCTGCTGCTGGCTGCTGGCTGGGGCCTTCCTTCATTCCGTGCCGCCCCCTGGTGGTCAGCATACATCATAGCAAGCGATCAAATTCCTGGTCAGTTGAACTCCCAAGGGGACACTTTGCATATTAGGCTTTTATATATATCCTATATATATAAAGGAGTTATATATATATAGGATAGATATATATCCTATATATATATAGGATATATATATATAGGCCGGGAGTTTGACCAGGGGGCAGGGCCGGCCCGCCAACCACTCGTGGCCCTTTCTCCCAGCCAGCCCTGCTCCCAGTGGGCACCCCACACCATGATCAGGGGCGGGGCCCTTTCCCCCAGCCAGCCCTGCTCCCAATGGGCCCCCACACCATGACTTCCCATATCCCCTCCCCCAAGCTGGCCCAACCTGATCATCCCTGATTGGGGCGGGCTGGCCAGACCACACCCATGCATGAATCCGTGTACTGGGAGGCCCGGTGCACAGATTCATGCACCACTATGAAACCGGCTCTCCAACATCCCTCAAGGGGTCTCAGATTGCAAGAGGGTGCAGGCCAGGCTGAGGAACCCCACTGGTGCATGATCAGGGCTGGGGAGGGACCACAGGAGGGCTCCGGGCATGTCCGGCCCAACTTGCCTAGTCCTGATCGGCTGGACCACAGCAGCAAGCTAACCTACCAGTCGGAGCATCTGCCCCATGGTGGTCAGTGCGCGTCATAGCTACTGGTCGAATGGTGAATGGTCAGACACTTTGCATATTAGGCTTTTATTATATAGGATTGGAGCAATCAGTGGGAAAGGAGCCTTGGGGAGGAAAAATGGGAGAGGGAGGGAGAGGGAGAGGGAGAGGGAGAGGGAGAGAGAAGACTATGACCATAGATGCCAAAAGAGAAAGGGCAGAGATCAGTGTCCCAAAATTCAAAGAAAGGGTGAATATCAGGCAATCGGTGTTTCACATGCTGCATAAACGTGAAAGAACATCATGCCTGAAAGCTGTCCTCTAGAGGGCTTTACAGGCTGACTGGCCACTGGTGACCTTACAGCTGCAGGATTGGCGGACAGGAGGGGGAGGGGAAGGCCAAACTTTGTGCGTTCAGGAGGGCATGGGAGTCAAGGAAGTGGAGAGAAACTAGATGTCTGTTCAGCAGCTTCACCAGGAGGGAAAAGAACTAGATCAGCAGTAGACACTCGGAAGGGCCTTGGATCCTGGGGGAAGATTTGTAAGATGAGCTAGAACAGAGCTGTGTGTGAGCTCAGGGGCAGGTAGAGCCCAGAGAGGTACACACAGAATGAAAGGGACAGAACTGCAACTGAGGGCACATAGGACACAGGGCTGGGAGTCACGAGATCAGTCTTGGGCAAGAAGAAATCAAAGGGAGGGGGCAGAAGTGGGTCTGGGCAGATCTGAGTGGTGGTCTAGGAGCAGGAGCCAAGGGGGCCTGAGCAGCAGCCTCAGCTTCCTCTGAGGTTCAGGAGAGGAACTGGCTAATACAGGGAGGAAGGCTGTGGGCCAGGGCTCTGGGGAGACAGCTTCCATGGGAAGGGGAGACTGGCACCAACTGGAAACCCAAGAGAGGCTCACCCCCAGAGGTGACAGTCCGCCTGGGGGGAGAGACCACAAGTGGGCAGTGACTCCAATCCTGCCCAGACACTGTAGCAGAATCACAGGCTGGACAGGCAAAGCCCAGAGTGGCGAGTTACCTGGGAGTTCCCCTTTGGAAATCGTGTCTGGGTCCAGCTTGTATGTGTCCTGAAGCCTCATCAGGGCCTTGGCGGCTCCCGTTTCGTCCTCGTCGGTGGGGAAGAACTGCCGCTGTACTGAGAGGTTGGCAATAAAACCTTCCAAATGAGAGTGAGAACAAGAAGTTACCCTTGATCTGGGGGCAGAATTCCACCTGGGACCAAAAAGGCACTCACTGGAGTGTCTCTGCAATTTCCCTGCCCCTCCATCAAAGGTTATTTCCCTTCCACCTCTTACAACCTCAGGACTCCAGCAGGTGGAAAACCCTTTGTGCTGACTCAGGGGTTGCAATTCTGCCTGTGACCTGAGAACTGGGAGGAGAACTCCAAAGCCATTTCTTCCCAGTCTCTTCCCCAAAGCAGCAGCATCCATAGCCACCTACTCTCACAGCCTCGGCTCAAACATCCACTCCTAGCCTTGCCTGGGGAAAGAAGCAGCAATGCTGTCTTCCTCATGACTGCACAGTCAGGGACACTACTTTATAATTTAGTAAAAAGAAAAAATACCCCCACCCTATCCCCCAAAAAGCCACACTGTCAACATGCCCCCTCATTTCAGGGGAAATAACTCTGAAAGGTGGAGGCGAAAAGAACCTATTGCTCTATGGGCCTATCTTGTCTCCTCCAGATAATGATAAGATTTTCCAAAGAAAACAGATGCTGATGGTGGGGGTGGGGCATGGAAAACAAGAATGGAGAGTGGGAGGTCACCCAAGCAGACAGGAGGTCATCCGAGCAGGTGATCATCTAAGCAGGTTTATTCTTCCACAGAGCAGAAGGAACAGTCAGTTCTGAGCTACAGGCCCAGGCTGGGAGGCAGGGGTCTGGGAAAGGCAGCCACAGCTTCTGGAAGCAGTGAGCTCACTGGGCACGGCTCCAGCCCAGCTGAGCTCACCAATCTCTCCCCAGAGGCCACCCTGCCTCCAGCCAAGCCCAACCCAGTCTGGCCACATGGACTGAAATGCCTCAGCCAGAGAAACAAGTAGAGTGAAGTGAAGCAGCATTCCCAACTCAGGGGGAAGAGGCAGAGTCCTGGAGGCTGAGTCCAGGGCTGGGAGGCAGGAGGGCCCACCCCACCATCTCCTGTTGAGAGGAAAATGTGAAAGCATAGGAAGTTCTATCACAGTGAAAGCAGGAAGCACAGTTAAAACTTTAAAGAAGTTCACAGACCTGCAAACAGGAATGAATCCTAAGAAAATGACCAAAGATGTACGTGCAAGACAGCTGATGATGTGGAAACAATGCCACGCCCACTGACTTGACCAGTTTACACAACACCAGTATAACACATGACTGCCCAGCCATGAAAATGATGTTTCAGAACATTTAATGGACAGATAGAGAAGCTGCAAAGTTCAGGAAAACTGTATAATCTTATGTCACAAATCCATCAAAAAATATGTTTCATATCTAAAAATATAAATGATAATGCCCTTTGTAATACTTTAAGCAATAAAAAAATAAAATAAAAATATATATAAATGAAGGGGGGAAAAGTTAAAAAACAAAAGATATGAATGGGAATGAATTTAGATGAGGCTTGAGCTGGCCCCATCACCCAGCCACCTGACTCACTTCTGTTAACTCATTTGGTCCCTCAGAGCAAGTGAGCTTGCATCCCTGATACATATGTATGGCTCCCCTTTTTTTTTTTTTAAAGTATATGCATGTGTAAAAAAACTGGAATTTGAGTGCTTATCACTAGGCAATTGGATTAAGAAATATAATTTCCTTATGTGATTGTTTGTGTATTTTCCAACTTTTTATAAAAATGTATTACTAAAGTATAATTAGAAAAAAAAAATCCTACCCAAAAAGAGAAGTGAAAACACTAGGGAAAGGCAAGAACTGATTACTAGTACATATTCAAAAACAAAGACACCCAATTGCCAGATCCCACAGAGGTGAAGAGAGTCGTGAGGTGACAGGGCACATGTTCACACACTGCACATGCCCACCCACACCCAGTCCCAGGACACGTTCAGACACACACTCCCCAGGCGCGAGCATAGGAACATGCCGGCTCACCCAAGCACCTGCTCACGGCCCCTCACCTGCAGCGGAGTCCTGCAGGACCAGGTCCTCCAGCGTGGACCACTCTGTGTTCAGCCTCTTTACCAGTTTGTAGGCATTCACAGGGTGGGCCAGGTAGCCCTCGGGGTCAGCAGCAGACTTGCTGGTCAGGGCTTCCATTTTGCTGGCCCAGCTGTGGAACCAGAGGAAAAGGAAGACTAACACACCCACCCACATGGGCCTTGACCTGTGGTAATTTTCCTGGTAAGATTTAGGACGCTTTCATCAAGAGGCAATAAAAAATGAATACAGCCCAGCCACTGTGGCTCAATGGTTGAGCATTGAGCTATGAACCAAGAGGTCGCAGTTTGATTCCCAGCCAGGGCACATGCCTGGGTTGCAGGCTGATCCCCAGTAGGGGGCGTGCAGGAGACAGCCGATCGGTGTCTCTCATCATTGATGTTTTTTTTTCTCTCCCTCCCCCCCCCTTCTTTCCTCTCTGAAATCAATAAAAAATATGTATATATTTTTAAATGAAACCTAGCTGATTTGACTCAATGGATAGAGCATCAACCTGCGGACTGAAGGGTCCCAGGTTCAATTCCAGTCAAGGGCATGTACCTAGGTTGTCAGTTGCAGGCTCCATCCCCGGCCCCAGTTGGGACGCGTGAGGGAGGCAACTAATCGATGTGTCTCTCTCACATCGATGTTTCTCTCTCTGTCTCTCCCCCTCTCTTCCACTGTCTCTAAAAATCAATGGAAAAACATCCCCCAGTGAGGATTAACAACAACAACAAAAATAAATGCATAACTCCCCACGATCCTTCGAGCCCCTTAATCTAGATAAGATCTGGGACCCTGACATATACAAAGAGACTCTTAAACAGAAAGGAAAAAGCAGAGTCCTCAGCCCACTAGAGCCACCCTGGAGGACTCCATGAAGTCACTGCCTGGCCAGCCACACAGTGTACTCGATGGCTTCCTCTTATGGGCACCCCCTGGGGGGCAGGAGGGCTGACTCAGGTAGGTGTGGGGCCTTGGGACATTGGACACCTCTTAATCTTGGAGAGCTTGGCTTCCTCCACAAGGATGTACTCCTTCAGAGACTGCACCAGGTCCTTCTCTGCGTAAATCAGGTCTGTCATGTGCCCTGTGAGGGAGAGGAGAAAGGGCCAGTGAGAAACGGGTGAGAGGTGTCCAGCCCCCTTCCTGGGGCATAGAACATCCTCACAGAGGCAAGTCCCTGGGCCACGAGCAGGTCAGCTCTCACGGGGACCTGGAGTTAAAGGGGATCTAGGCCCTCACATGGTCCTGGCCCCCAGCTTCAGGAAGAGAAGTGAGGCCCCAAGGGGATGTGAGGTAAGTGCACTGGGGGTGCCTTAGGGGAGAAACCCCAAATCTCATTCGTTCACCATCACACAGATGGGTCATGTCACTGGAGCCTGGACATCCTGGAGGCTTCATCACATGGAAACAAGCTCTGAGTCTTTAGGCCAGAAGAAGAACTGGATCCACCAGCCACAGAATGTTCTCTGCTCAGAACCATCCTCTGGTCTGGGAGGAAGACAGGAAGGCCAGGCAGCCCAGGAGGAGCCTACGCTTCCCAGGGAGGAGGCCCGGCTGAGACAGCTGACTCCCAGGCAACCAGGTCGTCAGGGCCTCAGAGGGGAACTGGCAACTCTGCGAGTGCCACTCTCCCTAGAACTTGTCGAAACCAGTGGGTGAGGCCATCTCACCCTGGCACTTGAGCCAAATATTGCTCAGGTAGGTGGTAGTCTTGTGGGCACATACCGATAGAGGTGAAGAATTCAGCCTGCACACAGCCCAGGACGCCAAACCAGGCCACCAGCAATACGGGCACCTGGAGTTTCATGGTCACAAAGGGGAGTGTCTGTAAGGTATTTGGTGACAGGCACTGGATCAACAGTAAAAAAAAAAAAGAAAGAAATTAGGTGAGGAGACACCTACACATGTGCACTGCACACACACACACATTCAAACATGCAAATACCCTGACCTAGCACACGGAAGCTAAGGATACTCAGGACCATCGGGAGGTAAACCAGGGTCACATGCCCTTGGGAGAGACTCTGCCCTCTTGGCTCCTGGCAGCCACCGGCGATATGGGAAAGCTAACCCGCATGGGGCACCGCCACCTCTGGTCCTAACAATCTGCAAGTCTGAGATTCTGGCCCACACCTTCTTGTCTCGCAGACTGCTCATCTATTTCCGTCTTTCCTTCCGACTCACGCACCAAGACAGCGCGCCAGGTGCTGGGGACCCAAATATAACACGCAGCCCCCGCCCTTAGAAGACTGACATCAGAGAAGAGGCAATGACAGAAACTGACAGACTATGACTCCAGGGACCCACACCCACAATGAAGCGTATGGCTGAGGGCTGGCCAGAAGAGGAATAAAAACTGACCCCTGCCCGTCTGTACCTGGCCACAGCGAGAGCAGTCTGGGAGCAGGCACTCTGGGCAGACACTGCTCTTCCTGTAGTGAGGCTCCGTGGCCGGTGCTGTCCTCACTGGCAAGGCACCATTCACAAATATTTACTAAAGACTCACATATGCCAGGCACTGAACGAGGCACACTGGATACAAAAACAAATCAGCCACAGAGGACCGAAACCCCAGGCTGTGCTGGGCTGTGCTGCTGATGGGTAAGAGGCCAGCTGCTACCTCCTCATCAGCCTAGAAGAGCCAGCCCAGCTCTGAAGGCAGCAGGCACAACCTGAGCAAGCCCCTCTGGCAGTGGACCCGAATACACAACTGAGCCATTTTGAGCTCAGCCACGCAGCCCCGGGCATGATGGAGGACCAGCACCCGTCTGAGCCCAGCACTGCCAGTCCCTCCTCTTCCTGCTCTATTTCGGCCAAGCCCCACAGGAAATTTACTTAAAGCAAACAAGGAAAATAAAGAAGACACAAATGCTCCCTTGCCCTGCCCTACCCTAGCCAGTTGCTCAGTGGTTAGATCGTCTACACATTCCTCACCTCACCTTTTCAGAAGAAATTTTGGTCTAAGGCACGTACCTGGGTTGCAGGCTTGATCCCCAGCACTGTTTGGGGCACATGCAGGAGGCAACCAATCAATGTGCCTCTCTCACATCGATGTTTCTCTTTCTCTGTCTCTCCCCGCTTCCACTCTCTCTAAAAATCAATAGAAAAAATATCCTCTGGTAAAGATTCACAACAACAAAAAATGCTTCCCCCCAAAATGTTAGTTTATCACACCCACCATTCCTCACCTCACCTTTTCAGAAGAAATTCCAATCCACTACAGTTCCAGGCTAGGCTCCAAGAGGCTCAACCACAACCCCCACCCCCAAAATGGGTTCTCATATCAGAAAGAGGAGAGAAAAAGTAAGTGGCGTCATTTGTTCATGTCCCTGCCCAGTGTCTACAGAGCCAGCAGCACGCCCATCAGTGCCCTACATGTTGGGGGCCCAGATATACACGGGACCAGAGCTCTCAGCCCAGAATCTGCTGTCGGGTAGGGAGTACTATGCTAAGGGGTGCATCATGGAGTGAGGGCAGAAGAGGAAAGCAAATCACAGAGAGAAGGGGAGTGAGACTGGCTAGCTCTGAGGTGGGGTCCGGGTCCTCCCTGTTGCAGCCACAGGTCTGCACCCAGGCTTGCCGTACTGCATCTCCGCCCAGGATTCCAGAAGGCCTTTCTTGTTGCTTACACAAGTCCTTTCCACAGGCGTGGTGTCTGTTCCTTATCTCTCAAGAGGCTTGACTAGCCCAGGAGAGCACGTCCTATATGTTTGTAGTAGACCAGACCAGACACGGTTGGAAGTGGGGGACCCCAGCGCTTCTCCCCTGTGTGTTGCCAGTTGCACAAATTCAAGGGAGGGAGAAGCTCCTTCACTCCTTTCAAGCCACCCTGGTGACACTGTCCACGGTTCGTGCCTTACAGACATAGGAAGAAGCACCCAGGTTCCTTCATTATGTAAATACCAGCTGTCATTTCCCTGGAATGTGTTGCCTGGCTTAGACGGAGCCCATCCACAAATCCCAGCCTGGAGGCAGAGCTCCAAAGAATATCAGATAGGGTTCTGGGAAATGGCTTCCCAAGAGCGAGCAAAGTCCTGCTCTGATGGAGGAGGGGGACAACGACTCTGCTGGCCCAGTGAGCGAGACACCCCCAAGGAGCCCCCAAACTGCCACAATCAACACTGCCACCGCAGGCATGGGTGCCCTGGAGCCCCATCATTCTCCTGGTCTTAGGCCGCTGAACACTGAAGGCTTTGTACAAAACGGGTCAGGCTGGGAGGAAGCAACATCCAAGATCGGCTGTGTCCCACAGTGTGGGCAAGGCCACCCACCCACATGCCAGCCCATCCCACTCAGACCTGTACTCAGAGCTTACTTGGGACAGAGTAGGCAGGAGTTTGTGTGTCTGCCCTATGCCCCCACAAAGTGTCCAGGGCTGCTGGAAGCCCTCCCAGGTGCCCTCAGAAATCCATGTTGGCCTGGAAATGGGCAATGTGAAACCTCTTTTTATGAAAAACGAAGTGGCACTGAGCCAGAACAGAAAACCAATACTGAGTTTTATTTGAGCTGCATCCCGAGTTTAGAACCATGTCTGGCCCATATCAGGCACTCAACAAGTAATACTTGACTGCAGATTTGTTCAAGTTAGGAAAACTACCACAACAGAAAACTGTGCATTTCTTCCCTACAGTGGATTGCTGTGGATTGCATAAGAATGGATACCATATGCATATTAACATGGAGTGAAGATCAAAGCATACTGTTAAGTGAGAAAAGCAGGCTCCCAAACATATGTACTCTATGCTCTCATTTTACAAGGAAAAATGTATTTATATACGTGTGTATATGCATATATAAATTTATGCATACACATACATACGCAAGAAGAAAATCATAAACCTAGTTGTATCTTGGAGAAATACTTTTATCTTCCTCTTTATGCTTATTTGTATTACCTAAACTTTCTACAAGGAGCTCTAGGGAAATCTGGAACATATTTTCTGATATGCTTAAAATGAAAAGAAAACAAAGCAGGCCCGCTCCAACGGACTCCAGAGCAGCCTGGCAGCCCAAGTTTGGACCCCCACAGGGAGGTACTCCAAATCCTGCCAACACCTAAGTGACAGTGATCCACCCACCAGATGACTGGCACTGCTTGTAAGCACAAGGCAATTCCAAGACATACAATCAGAGTCCCCAACAAGCCCTCTCTTTGGAAAGGACATTTACAACCTGGCCAAATGGCCGTGGAAAGATGTTTCCAGCTGCAAACCAGCAGCGAGCGTCCTTAGCTTCTCCCCTTACCTCATCAGGCAAAAACCTCTGCCAAGCTCCCAGCTGCAGCCCAAATGCAACAGCTTGCCTTCTAACAATATATTTAACAGCCTAGAGACAGAACATGGGTTTGCTGAGAACAGGGCTTGCTTGGCAATGAACAAGAGGCTGCCTGCCTCTGTAAAGGAGCCAAACCTGCCTGAACAGGGCTCCCCCCAGCGGCTCTGCCTCCCAACTCCAGGATGGAAAAGTCAAGAGGACAGGCGTGCTCAACCTAGACTTGTGCAGAGGTCCCGCAGGCCCCGCCAGGCCCACGAGCTGCTGTCACTGGCACCCCAGGGAAGGATGGGAGGCACCTACTCTCCTTACCTGATGTCATGCCTCAGTCATCACCTGGCCTGAGCCATCCCCAAATCCCTCCTGCTGCCCCGCTGGCCCCGGCCTGCACTGCTTTCTCATCTCATCTGGCCTCCCACCCACCTCTGCTCTACAAAGCAGCCAGCATGACTTACTGCAGCCCCTCCTTTGGTCTGTCTCGCTAAGAACCCTCTCCAATGCCCTCAGGATAAAGCCTAAACTCCTCAGCTGTAAGAGCCTTTTGAACTCTGCGTGACTCGGCCCCACTGCCTTCTCCAGCCCCATCTCATGACTCCAGGTTTCATACCTTCAACTACCACCTCACAAGAAAAATACTGTCCTTCACGGAGAACCTAATGAAGGCTAGGTGTTCATCTCTATCTATCTTTACACTCTCTCTGTCCCGTCCGTGAACACGTAGATGCGTACTTCCCCCTTGGGAACCATCAACACCACAGTCTCCTACTTTAGTAAACAGGGAACGAAGCAGCAGAGAAGGCTGTAAAAATCGACCTGCAAAAGCCCAGTTGGTTATTCAGTCACTATCTTGGCAGAGACTTAGCAGGTGAGACTAACTCCCAGGAAGGAACTCCACACAAGCACACAATCCACATGCCACTGATTTGGATGCACCCGACGTACTGTCTCAAACTCTCTTGGCCTCACCTAGCTCCTGGACCACTGACTCGCCTCAGACCAAGTGGAGGAGACTGTCGGGCTCCAAATCTCTGGCTCTCCCCACTACTTTGGGACTCCAGTGACACGCCACATCCACCTTCCCCATGGCTGCTGGAGGGCCTGGCAGTGCACCCCAGGAGCAGAGGGAGGTAACTCCTCATGAGGCAGCTCTGACCAGTGAAGGGCAGAAGACAGAGGAGGTCAGCAGATGAATTTCCTCTCAGGGCCTCCACTGTGAAACTGTTCTGCCACATGGACTTTCTGTAGAGCTCGCCCAGAGATGGCCCACAGGGCTAAACAACTGGTGCTGCTCTGTGCAGACTGGGCAGCTTGCTAAAGCGCCATCCTGAATTTGCTTCCCATCCATCTCTGCCTCAGTTGCCTTTCCCTCACTCTTGCTGCCCTGCAAGTGCACCTTCCAATAAAGCAGTGGTTCTCAATCTTCTGGCCCTTTAAATACAGTTCCTCATGTTGTGACACAACCATAAAATTATTTTCGTTGCTACTTCATAACTGTAATGTTGCTACTGTTATGAATCGTAATGTAAATATCTGCTATGCAGGATGGTTTAGGCGACCCCTGTGAAAGGGTCATTCAACCGCCAAAGAGGTCACGTCAAAGGGTTGAGAACCGCTGCAATAAAGCATTCAGCACTTAAGCTCTGCCTCAAGCTGGTTTCTGGGAACTAGGCTAAGATAACCACTATATTTATTTCCAAAAACCTTTCATTTCTACCTTCAAACCTCACCCAAATCTTGTAAACAAGATTATCATCTCCATTTCAGCTATCGATATATATAAAAGCCCAGCGACCCTTATGGCAGAACGACCAAAATGATCGGTCGTTATGATAGGCACTGACCACCAGGGGGCAGATGTTCAACGCAGGAGCTGCCCCCTGGTGGTCAGTGCATTCCCACAGCAGGAGCACTGCTCAGCCAGAAGCCAGCGCAGCAGCCAGGGCGGGAGCCTCTCCCACCTCCATGGCAATGCTAAGGAGCCGTGAGCCAAGCAGTAACGAGTGAGCAGGGAGGCAGTGAGGAGCAAGCAGGTGGGCAGTTAGGAGCCAGCAGGTAGGCAGTTAGGAGTGAGGGGTCCAGGATTGTGAGAGAGTGCAGGCCGGGCTGAGGGACCTCTCCCGCCCCCCATGCATGAATTTCGTGCATCGGGCCTCTAGAAGATAGATAACTGAGGCTAAGCATTTCCTGCACATCTGGCATGCTACAGAAAATCACTGGCAGAGCTGAGACTCAAACCCAAAACATACTTTCCACTAAATACTGCTGCCATTCAATCCCCATCAGTAACATCTGTTGGCTTACAGCACAAGGTCCTCCCAAAAACGAGAGCCACACTTTGCCTGGCACAGCTGGCCTGCTCTGGTCAAGGACTTTATTGTGACCCACAATGCAACTTCATGACATCCCTGGTAGGTCCTTCCAAAAGGCAGACAGTGACATGGACCCCAAAGAGAGGAACATGGTGCCCTGAGTGCAGGTGATAGACACCCCTTCCCTAGACACCCATCACAAATGACCAGCCAGCCCAGCTCAGGGCAAGGCAGTATAGTCCAGTAGGCAGGCACACCCACCCTGGGGCTGTCCAGTAGACAGCCCGAGCTAAACCTCAGCTCCCCCATGACTTCCTGGCTATGTGACCACAATGCTATGGGTCTCTGAGCCTCAAGTTTCCCATCTATATAATGGTGATAATATTAGGACCTACATTTCATAGGGCTATTGTGAGGATTGAATGAGATGACAGAGGTCGGTGGGCAGCCCAGCAGCACAAGGCACAATTTATACCAGTCATCAGCATGAAGAGTACTGCAGGAACATCAGTGGACCTGAATCAGCCAGCTGTCCAGCTGATCCCTAGAGAGGAAGAAGGTCCAGTCTAGGGAACAGTGAAGATGAAAACAAGGCAAAAATTGGGCAATCTCCAGGTCCCAGGAGTACTAAAAAAGAAGAAACAGTTGTTCAGGAAAGAGGGAGTTAGAGGGAATTAGGGGGAGTTAGGGAGTTGTGGCTCTCTCACAATCCAGGACCCCTCACTAACTAGCCAACATGGAATAGCCCTGGAACTGGTCAATTACTGGCTCTATATCTCACCAAGGAAGGGAAGTTCTCTGGCAAAAGGTAGGGCACTGGACCAATACTGTCTTCCTAAGAGCCTTAGGAGTACCCTAATTAAGTTAATAACAATGTACCTACCTATATAGTTTAAGTTTAAAAAACGTGGCTCTCAAAAGAAATTTCAATCACTGCTGATATTTGGCTCTGTTGACTAATGAGTTTGCCGACCACTGCTCTTGGAGCTCATGTATTTCTATGCCTCTGACTTGCTCACTCCAAGTTCCTACAAGTACAGGGCCTAAGGATCTTGGTCACACCCTGGCCCTCAGGAGTTCTAGGTACAAAAACAGGCTATATTCTAGCAAGTACGTGCTGAAAGGGTTAGAGCAGAGGCTGCTCTGTGATCAGGTTCAGACAGATTCTACCTGAGCCGGAGTACTCACTACCCAGACACTTAACTTAATCCTCTGCGTTGCAGTGATACCACTTAAAAACTCTCTCCCACAGCTCCAAGAAGTCTAGGCTATATTTTTCATTCCCCTCTGCTCTTTCTAAGAATAAAAACTCTATCCCTCATTCCACGTCCCCAGCACAAACCCAAGGCCACAGGAGCCACCAGCCAGCCCTCTCTGCTCCAGGACAGGCTGGTGTCCCAGCCTGGAGCACTTCAAAAGTCCAAATTGCTAGATTTGAGCAACTTTCTGGGTCCAGCTGCACGTGCCTGCATCACAGCATTTCCTGCCAACCTCCATCTGCATAAGATTAAATTCTTGACAGATCCCAGGATCCAGGGACACACCCACCAGCCCAAGCACACTATCAGCCAACGTGGCCACAGATGGGCCTCAGACCCTCCCAATAATGGAGGAGGGCAGAGTCAAAAAGCGAGGTCCTCTCAGGAAATGAGTAGATCCCAGATTCCCTCACCCCACTCATTCCTCAGGGCTGCACCCTCGCAGCCTCTCCTTCTGATGAGCGCTCGCGTCTGGGCTCCTCCCCTGGCACAGGGCCAGCTGCCAGCGTGAAGCAACAATCTCAGAGAGATTATGAGCTACCCATGGGCAAGAATACTGCTGCCACCTCCTCCTGCTCCACCCTCTTTCCGGCCCCAGGCGTGTTCTAAGCAGAAGCCAGGCACACAGGATGTCCTCAAGGAATAAACAGAGATCGGCTATGGCCAGGCTGAACCAGCAAAGTAAATACTCTCCTGGGCATCCCATTTCAGAGCCTGCGACAGGGCAGAAGGGCCTATCAGAAGCCACAGACTAGGCATCACCACGTCTGCTGGCTGAGCCCTACGGTGGCCCAGCATGACAGCATCTCTGGGATGAGGCCCCCAGCCAGCTCACTCCATCCTTGCTACGTGGCTTCCTTGGCAGGCCCACAGAGTGGACACGATTGGCCGTCTGAGAATGAGGAGGCACTACAAGAAAAGGATTCAGAGCCCAACGATCTGGTGAGCAGAAGAGGTGAAAGAAGCAGCTGAGCCCTGAGGCCCCGAACCACAGTGAGAGCACTGCACTCTGGACACTTCAGGATTAGTTTAAGCACAAGCCAAAGGAAATCTTGGTCCATTTCTTAGAGAACTAAACTATGGAATCTGTTGCCCCGGATGTGACATGGGCAGAGAAGAAGCAACAGCTTGCAAGAACATTCTATAAGTGCTGAGGTGAACAGGGGATCTCTGCAAACCCTGAGACACTTGAGAACGCCCTACGCTACAGAGTGACATTCCCCATCCCCTGTTCTCAGGGCCAGGATCTCCTGCAGGAGGGCTGAGGCTGCCGGGCTTCAGATGGTTTCCATCAAGAAACACAAGGCCCAAGGTGTCCCTCTCCAGCAGAGGACACAGATCTCCGCCTTGGAAGGGACTCTGCTGTTCTCCAGCATCTTAAAGATGTCCGATTAGCATGCAGAGGCCAGGGCCCACCCGTTGTCCTGGTCCACCCTCCTGCTGCAAGGGCTCGCTGAGCACCCTCCAAGGCTCAGTGCGAGACACTGTCCCCTCACTTGAGGCTCTTGTGCACGGGTCCATGGGCAGCTACCTCCAAGTGTCTTTTCGCCCATCACCTTGCTGGGGGCTGCTCCCTCACACAGGCTGCTCCTCTGTCCAGGTTATCCTATGGGATATTCAGCTTCATCTGACCACTCCAGTGAATAAGTTACCTCCTCCAGGAAGCCCTCTGACCCGAAGCATCGTGTCCTCTACCAACTACCGGCAGCCGGGGCTCCCTCCAGCACAGCACTCACCACCCTGCGCTGGGCCTGGACTTCCCCGTCTTCCAGTCCAGCTGGTCGGTTCCCTGGGCTAGCAGCGCCTTACAGTGTCCGACAGGGAAGGGTCCGTCTGTTGAGCTCAGCAGTTATCACAGGTTTCCGCAGCTGTTGAGGGAAAACATTCGAAAGGGATGTCTGGAGGGGGCAGAAAACACACAACTTTCTCACACCACCGCCCGTCTTTCGATGAGCACCAAGCCGGCGGTCAGGGCACAGGCTGCAGCCTTTGCCCTCTGCAGGGAGGAAGGTGGCCCTCACCAGCCAGGAGCGGCCCCTCGGGGACCAACCTCAGGCAGCCTCGGC